GTCCCACGGGGGTGGGGGGGGCCCTCGGGCCAGGCCAGCCTGCAGAGGCGCTGGCACTAGTACCACGGACGCGGAGAATCGCAAAGACAAGCCTTCCAGGCCCGTCTCCACCGCCAGGGGCTCCGTGACCTCTGGCTGTGACCTCGGGTCACGGAGCCCAGGCCTCAGTTTCCCCACTCCGCCCGAGTGGCCAAGGAGGGGAGCGCTCACGTCACAACACGCCCTGTCTAGTGAGTATGTGAGCACCCGCACGCCCTTGTCCCCAGGGAGACGGGTGCCGGTGCTGGCCCCGCGCAAGACCCCGATGCCAGGATGGTTTGGTGCCAGGGCTTCCCATGGGCCCCCTGGTGGCTTGGCCCCCGCCGGTGTGAGCCTGGGTCTCAGTTTACTCATCGGGGCCTAGAAGGGGAGTGTGGGTGCCCAGCGTCCTGCCTGGCGCCAGGTGGACTCATAGCCCTGGTCCCAGGCTTCGGGGCCGGGCTTCGGGGTACAGGTGCTGGTTTCAGAGCAGCCGGGCTGTGGGGGGTGTGGACACAGACGGGGGCCGGGGGTCCCGAGGACAGAGGTCCTTTCTGCTCTGCGGCTCGCCAGGGGGAAGGCGGGCGGTCGCTCCTGCTGTACGCACACACTCCTGTGTGTCCCTGCCCTCCAGGCCTCGGAGTCCTACCTTCCCCGGCTGGGCGAGTCGGTGTGTTTCGGAAAGGTGACAGGAGATGTGTCGTTGCTCTTTTTCTGAATTCGTTCTGATGATGGAGACGGGACGGCGGTGGAGCTGCATCGGGGCGGCCAGTGAGTGTCCTGGCGTAACTTGGCACGAAAGGGTCGGTACTTAGGAGGGGCGCTGGCCAGACCAGGTGTTCTTCGACGGCCACCGTGGCTCCGTGTTGAGAGCTTGAAACACACTTGTGTTCTGTGCTGCATCACCTCTCTTTTATTTTTATTTATTTTTTGGTCTCAGTGGTACCCCGGCCTGCATGGTGGCGAGGGTGGTCCGGAAAAGCTGTGATTGATTGATTGGTGTAGACATGCCTTTGACCTTCACCTCACCTTTTCCTACCAGTAACCACTTTGAGATCCTGTTGCTGCAGGAGTTCAGGGAAAACCCATCTGTGATATTATTTAGGGAAGGGTGACCGCGCCCTGGCTTCTGCAGAGTGTTGAGTAAGTCGCCCTGCTGCTCATTCTGGAAAGAACCTGCCGCTGGCACGGGATCAGGGATAAACCCATGATGTTGCGCGGCGGCGGTTTCTGTTTATGGGCTGGTGTTCACACAACACGCTTCGCCAGGATGTGACCGGCTCCGTGTAAACCTCCCGTGACCGCACAGTGTGTGTGTGACGCCTTGCGTCTCAGGGACGTGCCCGGGGCTGCGTGCCCCCTGGGCCAGTGGTCCGTCCCCACGTAGCTCCTTGTTGGAAAAGGTGGACATTTGGTGGATGTTTTCTGTGAATAATTATTAAAAAATAATGTCACCGAAAGCGTAAGAGCAGCTCCGTGGTTGGACTTTTTCATTTCAGTATTTAATAACAGTTGTTTACCTGCTCATGTTCCGGTTTCCTGAAACTGGCCGGAAAGAGCTGGTTGCCCTTGGTCTCGCTCACAACTGCAGTTGCACATCATTTAACCTCGCGCGTGCAAAGCGACTGCAGACGTCCCGTCAGCGGTCACTGAGCCGGTTCCGCTTACACGTCACCTGTGTCCACCTGTCCACTTCACCGCATCGGACGCGGGAATGGGGCCGTGTCGCCTGAACGTCTTCCTTTGACATCGTCTCTCCCTTTTTTTGAGAGAGAAGAACCGCCCTGGAAGGTTATGTCTCTAAGAGGCAAGCTGACAGAAATCCCGGATATTTACCATGTTTCACTGAGAAACACTAGTTTCCTTTAACATTTTATTTATTTTTTCTTTGTTTCCAATGAAATCACGAAATCTTATGACTTCAGTAAAGGGGTCAAACATTTAAACACATCGCAAATACTTAAAATCTGCTCCTCAAATTGCTGTCAGGCGATGAGCGTTTTAGAGCAAGGGGCTTAGACTTCAGAACTGGACGGGTTAACCTGTGTCCGTGCCTCAGTGGAACGAACCGTTCTTTCTGCTTCAACGACTGACTGCGTGAGATGAGTCATGTAAGCGGAATCGTGCAATATTTAACCTTCGGGGCCTGGCTTGTTTCATGTAGCACAGTGTGCTCAAGTTCCATCCATTTTGTAGCGTGTGACACGCTCTCCTTCCTGCTCACGGCTGCACAATGCTCCCCGGTGTGGATGTGCCACAGCTTCTCCACCCACATCTGTCCTACACACTTAGGTTGTTTCTACGTCTTGGCTGCGGTGGATGTGCTGCGGGGAACACGGGAGTGCAGCTATCTCGTTGAGATCCCGATTTCAATTTTTTTAAAATAAATAAATACCCAGAAATGGGATTGCTGGGTCAGGTGGTCGTGAAGGTTTTAATTTTTTAAGGCACTTCCATACTGTTCACCATAGTGGCTGCACCACGTTGCATCCCCACTCACAGGGCACAGGGGCTCCGGCCCTCCACAGCCTTGGAGTTTTCTGTTTTCTGACTAACAGCCACCCAGCCGGTGTGAGTGGTATCTTGTTGCGGTTTGACTTACATCTCCCTGATGTTTAGTGATGCTGAGCACCTTTTCCTCTATCTGTTGGCCATTTGTATCTCTTCTTTGGAGAAGTGCCTATTCAAATCTCTCTGCCATTTTTAAAAAAAAATTTTTTTTATTGATTTCAGAGAGGAAGAGAGAGAGAAACATCAATGATGAGAATCATTGATCGGCTGCCTCCTGCCCGCCTCCCCCCCCCCCGCCCCCACCGGAGATCGAGCCCGCAACCCAGGCATGTGCCCTTGACCGGAATCGAACCCGGGACCCTTTAGTCCGCAGTCTGACGCTCTATCCACTGAGCAACACCAGCCAGGGCTCTGGGCCATTTTTAACGAGGTTGTGCTTTGCTGTTGGATAGTGGGGGTGCCTTGCGTATTCTGGATGGGAGCCCCGTATCAATTTGCAAATACGTCCTCTTTCCAAGGGCTGCCTTTTCACTCTATTGAGGGAAAGCTTTTCAGCCTGACGTAGTCCCCACTCGCCTATTTTTTGCTACTGTTGCTTGTCCTCTGGTGTCGTGTTGCAGGAATCGTTGCTCTTGCAGCGTTTCCCTGTGGATTTTCCTAGAGTTTTACAGTCTCAGGTCTCCCATTTCAGTTTTAACCCAGGGGGAGTCATTTCTGTGTAGTGGTTAGCTTGGGTTATGGCACATTTTCACCCTTGCGTAGGAGCATAGAAGAAAACAGGAGGAAATCTTTGGGACTTTTGTTAGGCAAAGATTTCTTAGGACACAAAAAACATGAACCACAAAAGAAAAAAAATGATAAACTGAGTTTCATAGAAATTAAAAACGTTTGGTCTTTGAAAAGCTCCGCTAAGAAAATGAAAAAAAGTAAGCCACAGACCAGGATATAAATATTTGCAAAACGTGTATTTGATAAAAAAAACTGGCAACTGGATTATAAAAAACAAAACTCTTAAAATTCGTTAATAAAAGAAATAAAGTGAGCAAAGAATCTGACTAGACACGTCACCAAAGAAGAGATGTGCCTGGCATACGACTTGAATTTTCTAATCTCACACGTGTTCATTGGCTTTTTTTTTTAATCAACAAGGATTATCTGGTTGGGAAGGTTATGGTCCGCTTTTGTTTTGTTTTGGACTTCACCTGGTCTTAATTTTAAAGTGTTGTTTTCACAAGGAAAATAAGACATGTGTATTTGTGTTTGTCTAAAACAGCAAACACATGTTTTCTTAGAGTTATTTCTGGTTGTTCAGGAGTATCCGCGATGAAGGTCAAGGTCTGACAGGACAGGCTGTGTGGTTGTAGGGTCACTCCAGCGGCCTGTTTGGGTAAGAGGCCAACTTTCCTGAGTGTATTCAGAGCAGCTGCGCGTGGAAGCAGGTGGCTTGTTTTGCTCGTCTTGTGCCCACCCGTCGGCCTGGGGTCTGAGTGGGCATCTGTGGCAGGTAGATGAGTGGCCTTCTGGAAGGTGTCCCTGTCCTCATGCCCGACCCTGTGACTCTGCCCCCTTCTGTGGCAGCAGGAATGCCGCAGATGTGATCATGTTACGGATTTTGTGATGGGACTGATGGAGTCCCGAGGGTCCCGCTAAGGGAATGAGGGCGGCAGAAGCATCGGTCAGCGGGACGTTTCTGGCCTTGAGGCGGGAGCAGACCCTCCAGCCACTGACAGAGGCTGAGACGGGACCCTCCCCGGGTCTCCTCCCAGCCCGGCCAGCCCGGTTCAGAGGCAGATGAGCGGAAGGGTGGGAGGCACCTGCGTGTGTGTCAGGCCCCCGCGTTTTTGGTTATTTGTGAGGCAGCAATAGACCTCAGGGCTGGGCCGTTTCAAGTTCTAAAACACAAGCTTTTCGGAATCCTACCCCCCCCCCCCCCCCCAGGCTCTCTGCTATCCCCACCTCACTCCCCACGGGCAGTTTGTCTAACCTCCCACGCAGCTGCAGCTCCGAGAGATGAATCCCAGGCCACAGAGTGCAGGGAAGGAGAACGGCGCGTCAGCAGGTCGGCATCCCCTGGTTGCAGGTTAAAATGCAAAATCTGGGGTCTGGCCCTTTCTTCCTCTCTCTCTCTCTCTCTTTTTTTAAAGTTTAGGTCAAGTTTGCTGAAGTCTAATTTGCATGTAGTGAAATTTCCCCTTTTTAGGTTACAGTTCTATGAAGTCTGAGAACCTGCTAAAGTCAGGTAACCACTGACATGTTTCCATCGTCAACATCTCCCCAGTGTCCCTTTGTAATAAACCCCCGCTCCGGACCCTCGTCTCCGTCTCCGATCGGGTTTCTGGCCCCACGTTCGCCTCGTCCAGGTTGCCACGTCCACGGAGTGACACATCACGCAGCCTCTTGAATCTGACTTCAGTGACGTGTGAACATCATGCTTTTCAGATTCCTCCACGTTGTCTCTGCTCCTATGTAAACGAATCATAATTCTTTATCTCCAAAGGCCAGACTCTCCTTAAATCACCCAAGCGGTGCTCCGTCTCGGGGGGTGGGGGATGGGGGGAGCTGAGATGGCCGGCCCCCCCCACAGGCCGCAGAGGGGGTGCCCTCCCGCCTGTCAGCCGAGGGCGGGGTGCAGACAGCGCGGGGAGGAGGCGCTCAAGGGGTTGAAGCGATGCTTTCACAGGGATTGTCATCTTTAGCTGCTGTACGACTTGAAAGGAGGGAGAGAGATTGGGGTCCCTGGGCTGGAGGGGACGGGGAGGAGGGTTGGGGTTGGGAAGCAGGGCTGCTGCAGCCGGAGGCCTTGTGATGACGGTTAGTTACAGGATGAAATGGCCACTTAGCAACAGAGTACGGACGGTCACTTGTTCTGTATGCACCTCCGTTTGGGCCACTGCTGGCTACTCCTTCCTTACAAAAGACCCCGATTCGCTGGCTCAGAACCCCCCCCCCCCAGAGTAAGG